CAAGTTCACACAATTTGCAAACAGAGCTGGGGTTTAAACTCAAGTTTTCTGATTCTGAAGTCCGTCTTGTTCACTGAGCAAGTGTTGGATGTAGCTGTGTCTGTCTATACTCACCTCCTGTTGAAATCATGGTTCTGTCTCTGCTCAGGAAAGGGATGATCCCTGTTCTACTACCCAGTGAGGGCCCTCATGGGACCAGAACAGACTTTGTGCTGTTAGAAGTGAGGAGAATGCTCATTTCCCCCACTGAGTCACTCTCTCAGTTGGGGATCTAGCCATATTATCTGTGTTCATTCTGAAAATAGGGCTTTGGTTTCTGTCAGCCCCTCTTATTTCTCTAGAGGTGGGGGTGGGACTAGAGACAGACCTTTTTCTGTCTTCTCTGTTTCCCATTTTCTCCACTTGAACTTCATGGTATAGCAGAGACTGGAGGTTGGTCTGTTTATTGAAAATACCACTTAAAATGGAGTATCATAAAGAGTGATACAAGTGTATATAAACATCTCATTTTAAAACCTGTATATTCTTTTACTATTTTTTAAAAAAGATTTTATTTATTCATGAGAGACACACAGAGGCAGAGACATAGGCAGAGGGAGAAACAGGCTTGCTGTGGGGAGCCCAATGTGGGACTCAATCCCAGGATCCCGGGATCACAACCTAAGCCAAAGGCAGATGCTCAGCCACTGAGCTACCCAGGCTTCCTTACTATTTTTTTTTTTTAATGTAAAAACCCCTTTCTTTGAGTGGAGGACACAAATTGGAGTTCTGTAAAGTCCTATATAATTACAACCTTAATGCATGCTTATAGGTTCTGTTTCATTTTTAAAAACAAGATACGTGAAATGCTGAATGTTTAAAGATATTTTTCCTAATCTAGTGTTGTCTTGCCCACACCTAATTTTTTTTTTCTTTGTATCTTGCCCTCATGGAATCTTTCCAAAGCAGTTAACCTACTTTTCCTAGCCATAATAACTCCTCGGTTCACACGAACTTCATCAGGGCACGTACTTTTAAATTAAATTACATAATTAGAGTAACAGATACAATTGCCACAAAAGGAACTTGGGAACAAATGTGACTGCTTTTTGGTGCCATCTACTCAACAGTGGGAACAGCTGTGCACACACAAGCTGTGAGTGTCCTGTGTCCTATGAGACCTGCTGCAGGTGGATAGTCTGTGTGCTTCACAGGAGTGAGGAACCCTGAATCTAGTGACTCCAGCTAGCTGCAGGCTGGTTACTAGTGTCCAGTGTATGAACTGCATCCCTCTCCTCAGCCCCAAGAGAGGCCTCATATAAACTTGTTCATGGGAAGTGAAGGGACTGATTTAGGGGCTCTTGGCCTGGTTGGTTAGACATGCTTAGGGCCAGCACAACCAAAAGTAGGCCAGAGAAGAAACATTCTCCACATTTAAAACATTCATCACAGAAGCACGGAACTTGTCCTCCCCACCGCCCCTCCGCCCCTGCCCCAGCCCCAGTGGGTGAACAGGACCATCCTGCCTGTTTTCATATGTAAACTGGTTGATTTAGGTCCCTGAATCATAGGATCATAGGGAAACATGGCTTCTGCTTCCTCAGCTGAAAGGCTGCCTTTCTGGTGGCCGGGCCAAGCCAGAACTTAAATTTTAACTTTTGGTGCCACCAAGTGGTTGGCTTTGAGATGACTATTCTCATGGAGAACAGTTTGACAAATAATGACTTAAAAAAAAAAAATCTGGGGTGAATTGGCGAAGCACATAGGATTTTTAGGACAGTGAAACTACTCTGTATGCTACTGTAGTGGTGGATATATGTCATTAAATTTTCCAAATCCACAGAAGGTACAGCACCAAGAGTGAACCCTAATGTAAACCATAGACTTTAGGCAGTGATGTGTCAGTGTAGGTCTGTTGATTGTAACAAATGTACACGGTGGTGGTGGATGATGATGATGGGGGAGGCTATACATATGTGGGGGCAGGAGGCATATGGGATATCTGTCTGAAGTTTTGCTGTGAACCTACAATTGCTTTAAAAAATAAAGCTTATTAAAAAAATCTTCCATTCTACCTACATTTTTCCCTTCTAGCTACTAGTGTTGCAAGTAAGAGCAAGGTAAGATAGAGACATCATCTAGGGAGGCTGGCTGACTTCTCCAGCGTGGATAAAGTTATCCCTTGATAAAGTTCCCACATTTCAGAGTCTTTAGCTTTGTAAATCTTAGAAACTTTTAATTTTTTTGCTGTCTCCAGAGTTGTTCCATTTTCTAGGGTTATATCATACTCAATAACTTCTAAGAGACTTGTTAAGTCAGAATGCTAGTGTAGTACTTTACAATTAGAAATGTAAATGTCTGGTAGACCAAAACACATGTGTTAGCTGAGCAATGCATCTACTGTCCTGTAGGAAATTTATATGGGAAGACAGATTATACTGAGTAGGCTGCTTGGTGAAATCACACGGGGGTGTGTGTGCGCACACACGTGTGGTAGATGGAGTGGGATGTGTGAGGTTGTTTATCTTGAAGGTTAGTATCATTAAGCTGAGACTGTCTTTTTGAAAATTTAATTTGTGTATAAGAGAGTGTGGGGGTGGGGCAGAGGGTGAGAGAGAGAACAACTAGGGGAGAGAGGCAGAGGAAGAGGATAAAACAGACTCTTTACTAAGCAAGGAGCCTGATGTGGGACTCAACCCCCAGGACTCTAAGATCATGACGTGAGCCAAACGCAGATGCTTAACTAATGGAGCCAACCAGGCTTCATTTTTATTTTATTTTATTTTTAAAAATTTATTTTATTTTATTTATTTATTATTTTTATTTTTAAAAAATGTTATTTATTTATTTTATTTAAAAATTTAAACTTTTAAATTAAATTAAATTATTTTTTAAAATATTTTATTTATTTACTCATGAGAGACACAGAGAAAGAGAGAGGCAGAGACACAGGCAGAGGGAGAAGCAGGCTCCATGCAGGGAGCCCGACGTGGGACTTGATCCTGGGTCTCCAGGATCACACCCTGGGCTGAAGGCAGTGTTAAACTGCTGAGCTTTCAGGCTAACCACCTGAGCCACCCCTTTTTATTATTATTTTTAAAAGATTTTAGTTATTTATTTGAGATAGGAGAGAGAGTGAATGAATGAATGAATGAATGAGTGGGGAGAGAGAGAAGCAAACTCCTTGCGTAGTAGGGACCCGAACACCGGGCTCAATCCCAGGACCCTGGAATCATGACCCGAGCTGAAGACAGACGCTTAACAGACTGAGCCACACAGGTGCCCAAGGCTGAGACTATCTTGAGCACTTTAGGTCTGTATGTGACTCAGAGCTGGGAACACGTTGCTGGGTGGTGCTGATGACAGACTGACTTCATCTTTCTCTTTGGACACTCTTTTGGAAACTCTGTGCTGAGAGTTTTAAATGCTATAGACTTGCTGATAAAGCTCTAGTCTTGGAGGATCTCTCTGGTCACCATGATTAGCATTAGCATCTTCAGCCACCATTTATAGGCTTTTGCTTGGGAGAACTGGTCTCTTTATTGCATGATAATTTTTAATTTCATTCTCAGAAAAAGACTTGTTTTATGTTTTAGTGATCATGTCCCAAGATGTGGGTTAAAATTAATATATAAAATCCTAATCACCTAGGTAGTAGATTCCCAGTAGCAAAACAGTACTTGCTGATAGGAATTATTCTAGATTCTAAGTCAGTTAGAATCCATTTCTGCAGTCCACTTGATGTCTGTCTTGGGAGCATTGTATAGACCTCACAACCTACTTGCATATACCAGCCTGTCCTGTAGTTCCTCATTGGAGCTCCGATATCTCTAGTTCTTGGTATGGCCTCTCCCTGCCCCCACCTCTGTCCCTTGTCCCAAACTGCTGCCATATAGGGTCCTCAGCCAAGGGTACTCGGGGGATATTTGCAAGGTTGTAAATTGGTAGCCTGTGACTAGAATCGGATCCATAGATCTTTTACTTTTGCCAGTATGTTGTTTTTATGAGTTTGGCTTAATTGACAAAACTTAAAAATGAGGAGATTCATAGAGAACTCTGAGTATCTAGTTTCTTTTCAAACCAGTTGATTCAGCTATGCCGCGCATTTCCACAGGGCAGTTAAGTTATTGGAGTGGCCTAGAGAGGGCATGTACCTTGGAGTTATCCTCAGGCCCCACCCTACCTTTTCGCTCATTTATGTTACTGCTTGGTATTGGGAAAGGACTGACTCTTGGTGCATAGGAAAAGCAAAAGAAAAATAAGACACATCAAGCCTAAGGAAAGCAGTGGTTTTCCATGGATTTTTTGCTCACTGTTCTTTTGCCTGCCTTCTGAGGGGAATTCCTTCCTTGAAACTTGTTCCTAGCCTTTGTAGAATCCTGCTTCTCTCAGTATGACACCACTGAATATATGCCTTGTGCTTGTAAGAGGTGTGGTATTGGAATGCCATTGGGGAAAGCATCTAAACTTTGGGGTCACAAGACCTGGGTTTGAACCCCAGCTCTGCTCCTTACTGCGTTCTGTTTCCTTTTCTGTAAAATGAGGGCTGTAACTCATCTCATGGGTTGGTAGGAGTATTAACTGAGATTCCGTGTATAGAGCATCATGTAGAAGGTAGGTACTCAAATAATAGCACCTCCATCAAGACATGACTCTTCCTTGTTCATGACCTTAATGAAGTCTGGCTAAACCTCTGCCTCTGCTCCTCTGTTACTTAGACCCCTTTTTTTCTTATAATAAAGCTGTTTTATTTTTTATTCCTTACAACTTCCAGTCTTTCCCAACTGTACACTTCAAATATTTCCATTTTCTTTTTGTAGCCACTTGTATGTAGAATATAAGAATAATGATGGTAGGTGAATTTATTTTGTTTAGGAAATTGTATAAGAAGGATCTGATCTCCCATCAGATCCCTAATTGTGTATATAGTTTTATGATAGAAACTACATTTGCTTTCATAGCAGTCTGTTGAAATTCTTTCTGAATATACACACCTTTCTCCCTCCGTTGTTTGTTTATAGAAATAGGACCAAGGTCAAAGCCTGGAAAGTCATCAACAGAAAAAATTGGAACCGAAAGAGGGACACTTCGCCTGAGATCAAAGGGTCCTGCCACCGTGGAAGAAATGGTAGGTTACGTTTCTTTAATTCTCATTCTGCTTGGAAATGTGTGGCTATTCATGTTCATTAGAGCTGGAAATAAAGGTAAAGCCACAAAGTTAAACAAAATACCACATACTCTAATTAAAGCATGGACTTTAATTCATTGCCTACTTAAACAGTATGAAAATTATTGAAAGCATTTAAGAAGGAAATGTAGAAAGTAAGCGTAAGAGAAGAAATTGCCATCTATAGCCATCTTCAGCTACCTGCAGACAGCATTTGCTAGTCTGTAGACATCTGGACTGGCTTGAAAACTTAAATAATATTATTCATACTAATGAATATCATTATTCATGAACTTTAGTCTCCTCAGGTAAAACATTTTATAGTCATCTTTGACTCTTCTCTTTCATGTCCCATGGCCCTCCCATTAGCAAGCCCTGGTGGATCTACCTCCCTAATAGACCAGAATCCAGCAACTTCTCACTACCCGTGCCCTTATTACTCTGTCCCAGGGCACCTACAACTTATCCTGAATATTGCAGTTACCTTGTATTAAGTCTTCCATGTTCACCCTTGCCCTCTTTCCCTCTCTGCTCGGCACAACAGCCAGAATTAAAAACACAGGTGGTTCTTCTTCTGTTCCAGACTCTCTAGTGGTTTTCCATGCCACTTAGAATAAAAACTAAAGCCCTCAGATTGACCAATGTGATTTGACTCTGCACTTCTTCTCTGCTCTTGTTTCCCACCACTCTCCTCCTGGCTCTCCCTGCTTCAGCCACATGGGTCTCCTGGCTGTCCTCATATACTCCAGATGCATCACACTTCAGGGTCTCTGTATTGCTCTCACCTCTCCCTGAATGCCTTGCCCATTTATGGGCATGGCTCACTCTCCTGACTTCATGTTTCTGTCCACATATCACCTTATCTAAAAGGCCTTCGTTGAATATCTTGCATGAAGAGCAACTCCTATCACCCCTCCTCCTGCCCAATCTTCCTTGCCCTTAGTTATCTTTAGAGCCCTAAGCACTAAAGGACACATTGTATCTTTGTTTCTTGCCTATCTGTTTAGTTCCTTTGCTCATATGTTTTGTTCACTGCTGCTACCCCAGCGCCTAGAACAGTACCTGACACATCAAAGGAGTTCAGATCTTTGCTGAATTAATTAATAAATGATACATTTAAACTTGAGAAGAGTAGGGTTTTTTTTTAAAGCTTCAACTTATTTATTTATTTATTTATTTATTTATTTATTTATTTATTTATTTATTTATTTATTTATTTATGATAGTCACACACAGAGAGAGAGAGAGGCAGAGACACAGGCAGAGGGAGAAGCAGGCTCCATGCACCAGGAGCCTGATGTGGGATTCGATCCCGGGTCTCCAGGATCGCGCCCTGGGCCAAAGGTAGGCGCTAAACCGCTGCGCCACCCAGGGATCCCAACATTTTTCTTTTTTCTTTTTTTTAAGACTTTATTCATTTACTCATGAGACACACACACACACACACACACACACACACACACACAGAGGGGCAGAGACACAGGCAGAGGGAGAAGCAGGCTCCATGCAGGGAGCCTGATGTGGGACTCGATCCTGGGTCTCCAGGATCACGTCCTGGGCCAAAGGCAGGCGCTAAACTGCTGAGTCACCGAGATGTCCCAAAGAGTAGGGTTTTGCTGATAGACTCAGTCAGTTTTTGAGTGAAAAATACCGAAAGGAGAGGAGAGAAATGGAGGGAGGAGAGGACAGCAGGGGTGAAGAGAGGCAGGGGTAAGGACTCAAGGTGGCAAGTGGTGGTCTGCTCATCCAGTGAAGACAGAGATAACGAAGTCCTCCTGTAGGCAGAGGGGAGGTCAGGCAGGTGTCTGAGGCTGGGGAGCTCCTGCAGGCAGGGGGCTAGTTGTGTGTTCATATTGTTCTAGGATTCCCCATGTGTTTGAAGAGCAGAAGAGTGAGACAGGTGAACAGTTAGGAAGCTGTGTTCACAGAATGGGATCCCAGAGCTTGCTGGGTAATGATGTCCAGGTCAGTCATGGGGGTGGTTTGTTGGAGCAGACACTCAAGGAACCATGAGGCCAAGGTCGTGCTTTTGAATGTTCGAGTCATCCAGGATGTTGTCGGTTCAGGGGAATCCAGAGGAAGATTCTGAGTTCAGTACCTTGGTACTGGGTAGTGAGTGCAAGGATTGATGTGGATGCAAATGACAAGGAAGAGACCTGGGAGAACCAGAAGCATTTTGCAAATGAGATAGGGTGAGGTATGTGAAAAACTCGGGGCAGTGACATCTGGTCATTCAGAGTCTTTAACTTTCCTAGTATCCTGCACACTCGCAGGCATATTGCTGCAGACCAGGAAGTGTTTATTATGTGAATGAACAAACCGGAGTGGAAGAAAGGAATCTGGAAGAGAATGGAAGAATAATGAGGAGGCTGGCAGGGAAAGCCAGGAGAATGACAACTGCTTTCCAGTCTAGGCTGTGAGGAACAAAGGCCAGATCTTAAAACTGCTTACAAAGCAGACAGAGGCAGCAGGAAAACTCTATGTTGCTTGGGGAGGAGGGGAGGGGCGTCACCTTCGAATAGTTAACATAATTCATTTGTGTTGAGCACCTGCTATGCATAAGGTGCCGGGATGAAAAAGAGCAGCTGAAGATCTATCTGGGGAAGTAAGAAAGATTCATTTGAGGATAAACATCTCAAATTCGATTCCTATTTGCATAGCCTGTTTCATTAAATAGGGTAATTGAAAGTAGCTTGTAATAAAAAGAAAAAGCTAGTTTGATACTTATATTAAATTTGGTGCAAATGACTTATCATCTAAAGGATTTATAGATTGGAAACAAATCACCCCCCCTTGCAACCCAGCACACATTCTGAAAACTGTGGAAGATATTTCACCTGCATACCTCATAAAATTATTCAGTATGTGTTTCTTGAGACAGGTGCAGTCCAGGCTGGTGATACAAAAATGAATAAAGACCTTGTTTCTCCTTGAAGGGGAGGGGGAGAGGTGTTGAAAGAAGCTATTGAAAACCAGGGAATAGGTTTAGTGTCACAGAAGAGGGCTAATCAGTTGCTGTCAGGGATGGGGAGAGAGGGACGGGTAGGGGGTGGAATATATTTCCTGAAGAAATGATTGAGTTGGTTAAAGATGGGGAAAAGAGTGTTCTAGGCTTGAAACAACGATGGGCTTGGGGACCTTGGGATTTGAGTGTGGGGTGCTGGTGGGACCTGCTGGGGGTGAGGAGACCAGGGTCAGACGTGAAAAGTCTGTGGGAATGCGGGAGTCATTTAAGAATTGTGAGGAGAACAACATAATTTTACATTTTAGAAAAATCCCTTGGATTCTAGTGGATGGATTGTTGAGCAGGGTATATTTGAGAGGGTGAAGATTGCAGGCAGAGACAAAAAATAGAAAACTTCTGCAAATACCAGAAAATGAGAGCTGAATCCAGGCAGTCAGAATGTGAGTGGAGAAAAGGTGATGAGATCAAGAGCCTGTTGCTTGACATAGTACATCCAAAATACACCATAAAGAAGGCAAGAGTGGTATGTCATAACTGTTACTGTTTTTAAGGCTTAGTTCATATAAGTAAGAACATGAGAAAGTTGTAATAATGTTCTCAAGGAAATAAAAATTGATATTCATAATAAAATGGATATTTCTAATAAGTTTGGAGAACACAAAGCAACATATATTTATTTATAGCAGTATTAAAAATATTATGAGTTTCTTACAGTTTAATCTTGAATTCTACATTTGTACCGATAGTTGATTATTTCACATCTTTGGGTAATTTTTTTTTCAGCTAGGAAACCATTTAAAAACAAGTATTGAAATAAACTGAATGCAGAACCAGACTTTACCAACATTAAGCCAAGATTTTCAAAGAATAATAAAATGTATCCAATCATGTTTTATCACTGAAACCTTTAATAATTGTTTTAGGAAGAACGAAATATTTTGATACCGTTAATGCACAAAAATTACTTAAAAGTGGTGGTTGGGGCAAGTGAGTGGCTCAGTTGGTTGAGCATCTGACTCTTGATTTCTGCTCCAATCATGAGCTCAGGGTTGTGAGGTCAAGCCCCGTGTTGGGCTCCAAGCTCAGCATGGAATCTGCTTGTCCCTTTATCTCCCCCTCTGCTGTCTCTCTCAAATAAATAAAATATTAAAAATAACAACAAAATGATTGTTTTCATCATTTCATCCTTATAACGTTTCTATTTTTGTATGTTTTTATAATGTATACATTAATATAGTAATAAATGTGTGTAATCTATGAAAGATACATACTGTTAAAAAAATGATTAAAGAAAGGGTGCCTGGCTGGCTCATTCGATAGAGCATGCAATTCTTGATCTCAGGGTTGTGAGTTCAAGCCCCAAGTTGGGCATAGAACTTACTTCAAAAAATAAAAATATAATAAAATATTATTAGAATTAAAATCATTAAAGGAGACAATTTACATGATACAAACAGACTTTACTCACGAGGTGGACAATCCCCTTTCAGAGAATTGCAAAAGGTAGAAGTCAAGAAACTTGACGGGATAAAGATTAAAGAACAAGTAAGAGAAAAATAGAAATTTTTCAATTGGCTGGGGCCACATACTGAATCTTGTTTGGGGTAAGAAGTCCCAGAATTGGCTTATGTTTGGATATTGGCTGACTAGGTTATACTGTGTTTCTGATTAAGCAGAGTATTTACAGGGACAAGAAAATTAGATAACATGACACCTTGGACAGCGTGGCTCCCTCCGTCTTGGGCCTAGAAAATTATATCAATGATACATGAAAATTAAAAAAATAAGTAATAAAAGTATGTGTTCAGATATATTTTACCAGTAGGGTGATCCCTTCAAAGGTTTGGAGACCCTTCATCTACATGATGAAGGCCAAAGCCCTTTTCATGGCCCATAAGACCCCTTAAGATCTAGTCCTGTCAGGATATACTCTTTATCAGACTCTGTGACCTCACATAGACTTTGTGTATCAATTGTGATACTTTTTTTTTTTTAAGATTTTATTTTTAGGTAATTTCTATGCCCAATGTGGGGCTCAAACTCACAACCCTGAGAGAAAGAGCCCCAGGCTCCACCAAGTAGGTGAGCCAGGCACCCTTGTTGCAATATTTCTATTTGTACTGTCTTCTCCTGCTTATCTTCCACCAGTTTATTTATTCACGATAGACACACACACAGAGGCAGAGACACAGGCAGAGGGAGAGGCAGGCTCCCCGCAGGGATCCTGATGCAGGACTTGATCCCAGGACCCCAGGAGCATGACCTGAGCCAAAGGCAGAAGCTCAACAACTGAGCCACCCAGCTGCCCCATGAAAACACAGTTTTTAAGTCTTTTTCTCAAGTCTTCAGTGACTCTTAAGAGATTTAAACTTACTTTGCCTGTGATGGCTCTTCATATCCTTTAAAATTTTTTCTTATTATCTATTTTCATACTTTTGTTTCCTCTTCTAGATTGTTAGCTACCTGGAGAATGTGTTCTCACTTTTCTTCTTTGAATCTGTAGCACTTAAAGCTGACACTAAAAATAAGTATTTACCGTATTGATTTGTATTGAGTTACAGAGCACATTGTACATCTATTTCCATTCAAATGAACTGATGTACACAACCCTGAAATGGCTCCTTGCCAGATTTTCCTTTATCCTTAGGCTTAACATTCAGGAGGTTTCAAGTAAAAATAATATCTTATTTCTCTTTTCTTTGATAAAGCCCTCTGAAATAAAAACAAAAGCAATTGAAAAGATTGATAATCTTCTTGAATTGTACATGGGAATCCAAGATACTGATTTAGGTAAGATTATACTATTTTTAAAAGTCTTATATTTCTTAATTTGATGGAATTTAGTACTTCTTTATGTCTTGCTTGCATTTATAACCAATGATACTTTTCAAGATAAAAACTATGTGTAGAGTGATGAGAAAAGCATAATGAAAATAGAGATAATAAAAGAATAATGAAAAGACCTTGCCCTTACCATTTACTAGCTGTGAGTCAAGTCAACTTTTCTAAACTTCAGTTTTTAATCTACAGAGTATAAACTATAATAAGAATAGCTTTTCTTCATAGGCTTGTTTATGGATTTAAGAATTACATATGAACAAATTTTGTAAATGACACCTATGAAATGTATTTGATACATCAGATCTACATTGATTAAGTTACATGTTATGATATTGAAGTTACGTGCCCTTAATAGGATTAATGAGACCCTGGGAGCAATGAATCAGAAATAGGAAGGAAAAGGAGGCACCTGTTGTGTGATTGATAAGGGCAGTTGAGCAGTTGAATTTTGGGATATTTCTCATGTCGCCATTAGGATGTCGGGTTCTTGATTTATCAGTTGCAAATAACGAAACAATAGCAACCAAATTTCAACTGACATGATAAAAGAGGGGAAATGTTTTGGTTCTTATTATTGAAAAGTTCAGAGGTAGATCATGTGTTCAAAAATGGCTAGATACAGAGTTCCCATGCTGTCATCAGGATGTGGTTTCTCTTCTTTCCATTCAGGCTGTACTTTAGGCCTCTGCAATGTCCCCTGGGATCTTCAGGCCCTCCCTCATGGAGTCAAATTGATGGCCATTGGCTCCATCCTCTACACTTTGCTGTCAAGTGTGATGGGAAAAGGGGAGGGCCTTTTCCAAGTCATTCAAACAAAATGCTATGGTTAGGTCTGGGTCAAATGCTCTACCTCTGAAGCCAAGAGTGACTGAAATGCTAGGGCTGAGCTGGTGAAAAGTCCTGGTGCCTCCCACATATAAGTCAGAAAAAAGTGCCCTTGAGAAGGGCAGATGGATGCTGGGTGGGGAGAGCAACTGCACTGTCACGGTGGGTTTGTGCATGCATCGTGTGTGTGCATAGAGTGTGTGTGTTTGGATCAGGTACTTAATACATTTTTTAAAGCCAAAGACTTGGACTGTTTTGTTTCCCTGCTACCAGGTAAAGTATTTTACTCTGGCCCAGGTAGGATATTTGAAAATCATTATTCCTTTTCTATTTCCGCTCATTCTTCCATTTTTTCTTATAGTCTATTCTTATGTTTTTCTTGGTTGTCTGAACTTTTAAAATAAAATTTCTGTGAGGGACATACAGGTGCTGCCTGTAATTGAAGAAAAATTAATACTTTTTTTCCTTTCCTTTTTATATTTTCTTGATTCGAAATATAAAATTTGCATGAAATGGATACTTGCTCCACACAGACAAGAAGTTAAAGCTGAGATTATCCTATAGAAAGCCATTGTTTTAGAATTTTTCTCCTCAACTCATTCGTGTTTGGAAAAACAGACTTGCATAAGTGAGGTGGGTCTGTGAAATGATGCAAATCAAAGCAAAAGGGATTTCTGAATGGCAGTGCTCTTAAACTCAGGTTAGGCAGTATTGGTTGGAAAAATAACATATATCTCTAGTTGAGAAGTTCTCAAACAGTGTAATTGAATATTACACGTTTGAGAAACTAGCCTATCCATGTGCGATCTTGATGAACTCAAGGAGAACCACACTTCAAAGGGAAGAACTAAAACAGTCATTAGAACTTAATTTTGGGTATAGGTCTTATAGTTAATTAAGTGTAACTTTGGAATAGTTAAATAAATTAGTTCTTTTGTTATTAAATATATACAAGTATACATAGAAGAACAATGGACAGTGGAGTAATTCTAAATGAATTAAGAAGTAGTTCATTGGGAATCCATTTCTCCCACTCTGACAAATTCAGAGCACTAAACATTCCTCACAAATTCTTTGTAAATTAATTCGTAATCCCATTGTAAAGTTAATTAATCATCTGTAGCAAATTCCTCCAATGACTTGGAAAGCCATTATCATTAAACGTGATTAGCAATGTGATCAGTCATCTAGGGAGGTAAAGTTTAATGAAAGTAATTATTTGAAGAATATCAACCATTGTTAAATTAGGAATTTCTGTCATTATTCAGATCTGATTAGCATGAAATATAAATCACAAATGTGACACTGATTCAACAGATGAATATATTTGCTTGTTTTTATTCCCAGTGTTCTTAGCTTTCAGAAATGTTAAGTCTTAAGGCAGATTGCAGTGAAATCATGTTATTCTGGAGTTGTTAATATAGATTTACATTAAAGAGTGAAAAAAGGAATATGACCATAAAATGACTAAAACGAAAACACTATCATCACAAAGCATTGGGATGTATTTACCACTTGAAATAGGAAAATAACTGAAATGAGTTTAGGAAGTAACCCTGGAGGTGACAGTGCTTTCTTTGGTTGTAAAGGTAAGCTGTGAACTATGGCTTTTCAACTGACCCAATGCCAACATATGTGCCTTGGAATGTTATCCATGGGGAAAAATGGATTCTGGAAGATTTTGAGTCCTGTAACATCTTGTATGAGACTGACCTAACTTAATGAAAAGTTGTATCAGAAAAAAAAGTTGTATCATACAAGTTTCCTCATGAAAATTTAAGGCAAATGTGTAAATTATATGTATAGAAGTATAAGTGTCCTGATGATACCAGTTTAGGAGTTTGGAGATCGTCCTAGCCACGTCAAAATTTTAGGATTTCTAATTTATTTAAGAGATCCAGAAATGTTTGGAAAAGAAATTTGAATGATAGATTCTAAGTAATTTTTTCCTATAAAATCTTTCTTAGCTCCTTTAAAGAATACAATAATGTTGTTTTAATGAGATAATTACATTTCTTAGGATGATTTTCTTTCTTTGGTGAATTCCAAACAGTGAGTACGAAAGAAAGTTATCCTTCTCAGAAAAGGCCAATGATTTTGGAAATAATTTTTCATTAACAAAAAAACCATATTCAACATTGGTCATATTTTTGATGTTTGACTCATGTCTGAGTTGCTTGAAATGGATTATTTATGAAAAGTCTTAGAGAAATAAGTGCTAAAGACCTCCCTTGGAAGGAGATACAACTACAGATTTAATGGTTAACAATGTTTAGGACTAATCTTTATTTAATCCTGCTACGTGTCATGTTATAGATTTGAAAACAGAGAAGTTTAGTAACTTGCCTCAAGTCAGCTAACAAGCCAAGATTCAATTCTGGGATCGTTAATACCAAGATTTTTCATCTGCAGTAGTATCTTATGCTTTAAAAGTTCTGTTTAAGTATTTAAAAATTTAGTGGGAAATATAAATAGACCTAATTCACCAAAATAAGTTTGTTAATAAATGACGTAAAAGTGGTTTAGTTCTGGTAATGATACAAAGATATTTTCAAGGTGGACACTAGAGGTCAGCACTTAGCTGCCATATGTGGTATAACAATTCTTTAAGTGGACTTTAAAAAATTTATTTATTATTTTTTGCCAGATTGCATTTGGGTGTTAAATATTATTGCAGTGTATTGCAGATCTACTATAGGTGAAGAAGTATTTTAGTAGCTGTCATATTAACGTGATATAATTTTATAAAAAGTTCTTCAATTTGCTAAAGTTTCATTTTGCTTTCCTCTTAAATCAGAGATAAAGTCTTTAAACAAAAAGGATAAAAATCATTCACGTTTACTTCTCCTCTAAGAACGTTCAACTTAGCAAAAATTCTTACATGTTTTAGTGCATGTGCCATTCTTAATTTCTTTCAAAATTCATATGGCAAATTACGTACTGTTTTTTTTTTTTTAAAGATTTATGGCACACTGTTACCTATAGTATTTCTAATCCCATAATGAAGCTGCCTAATTGGTATTTTTGTTACTTCTACCAGACCAGGAGTTCTTTGAGGGCAGATACTATATTGCTCCTACTACAGTATTTCTCCTAGAGTAAATATTTGGTAAATGTTTGTTGACTGACTGTGTGTTGAGAGGCACAAAAATAGTGAATTCACAGGGAGTATGGGTCCTAACTTCATTAGTTTGAAGATTTAGCCCTTGGACAAATCATTAAACTTTGAGCCTTAATTTCCACATCTTTGTGAAAGGGGTATAATAAAAATCTTACTGGGTGGCCAACACATTCAGTTGAATAATATGTATAAAGTTCTTGTCACATCATAAATAATACGTACAGCTATTATTTTTATCAATGATCACTAATAATTATTACTAGTAATAATGGTAGTGGTGGTAGAGGGAGGACTTCTACCTGGAGGACTGACCCACCCTGGGACTGTCATGAGTATGGAAGTTCTCCTTTTCCGCTGTGTCAGCACAAGCGCATGAGTGAGATTATGCAGTTGGGATTGTGAGGTTGTGGTTTGGGCACACCTTAGACCATCCTTGTTTCTCATTTTATAACTAAGGAACTCAAGCCAGAAATTGCAAGTCAGAGTAGGCAAGGTCTGGAATGTATTGTCCTGGGCTCAGTGCACGGGACGATGCTACTGAGCTTCCTGAGGTACCACCCAGCCATGTACCAGGTTATTTCTTAGAGGGCAGTAGGTACATGTATGTGTGTGAGTGAGATATTGGCTTTCCCTGTCCATCAGTGAACGTCTGATTCCCTCCAGCATTTAAGAGCATCATTCATCTGCACTGTTAGTTTCTGCTTCTGAATGGTCTGCAGATTTTCTTATACCTTCTGTGTGCATCTTATTTCTTCTTCAACCAGATTGCATAGCACCCATATGTTAGAATAATCTCAGGTAGCTGTCTCAATAAGTGCTATCTGTAGAGTCCATGAGAAATATTTAAAAGGGTAGACTTAGCAAAATTCTAAACTCGCGTCCTAGTGAGGCAGTACTTACCTTTAAGTTTGAGTTACTCTCCTTTCACAGCCAGGCTGCAGGACCAGATTCTGGGGTTTGCATTCTCCAATGCATGTTAATCCTGTCAGTGTAAAGATTATTA